ATAATAAAACCTGAGTGGAACTCCGAGGACCTCCGCAAACCATAAGCTGAGGTTATATATCTGCCAGCAACAACGACTGACACTTTTTTCTTGTTAATAGCCTTTTTATGGAGGCTATGTCAAAACATCGACTAAGATTGTCTAAAAATATGTTGTACACGCTCTTCAGGAACCCGATAAATTATATTCTGGTCAAAAATATTTCGAAGTGTTGCAAATGGAATAACAAATTTTATGCATACTCCACCTTCTGGGGGAGCAAAATAAATACAAGACCCTTATTCTGCTAGTAGATGATCAGTTAACCGGTCTTCTATTGATAGAAAAGGTTTAACAGATTTTCCGTACGCAGAATACATTGAGGTCATATGGCAAGTGCTTTCACGTAAATGACCTAAAAGTTGTCAGAAACATTTCCGAACTACTCTTTGCAGTATAAATTCCTTCGAAACAATCGCAAATCATAGGTGAATAACTAACAAGACTTCGTTTTCAGCATCCAACTCCACTCAGACCATTAAAACAATGACAAATTCTTTGGATGTACCTACCAGGTAGCTTACTTATAATTATTTTTTTTATTATTAGCAAATCATCATTGAATCATCACACAATAATACATTCCGGATATAGTCATATAGTAATAAACAATATTTTAGTATTTTATAGAGAATTCCAAAGACTTATAAAAATAAACCCAGTTTATTTTATTCATATAAGAATATCAGAAAAAATAAATCTGTGTTGTCTTTTTAATAAAAAAATCACAAAACTTAGTCACATCTTGTGCCAATAAACCAAAAAACAAGCACAGCAATAACGAATGTAAACAAATTTAATTTTGTTGGATATCAAACACCAGATAATAATTAAAAAAAATTATGCTACTGCGAATACGTACGCCTTGCTTGTCCTTCTCCACCACTTACGCCAGACAGACAAGACTGGGAGGAGTGACGCTATAACGGGGTTGACCCTATAAATACAGCAGCGGAAACCAGATAACCCAATAGAGCCAACCATTGTTTATGAATGATTCCCTCCCACTCTCGCTGTTTGTCTTTGGTGGACATCGTCTTCATGTATCTGCAATGGAACTGTGAATTGTGAAAATCATAAACATGGCTACAATGATTTTTGCGTACCTTATCTCTCAGGTAGTAGTGCGAATAAAAAAAAAAAAAATTATCTTTAGATTTCTTAGAAGCCAAACTATGGTCGCACAGAGATAAGAGGACGACCAAAGAGTCTATGGACAAATTCGGTGACAAATCACAGCAACACTAACTGATGATGAATAAACAATATTGTCGTATCATAGAGAGAAGGCTAACATAAATGTATTTATTTTGGTAAAACAGGGCGTAGACGACTGTTTTGGTACCACTCAGAAGATATATAAATATTAAATTAAAAGGCAAGGTTTTAATTAACATTTAAAAAAATTACAAACAATAAATAAAATTGTAATAAATCATACTGGTAAACATTTCTAAATATTAAAAATGTTTACCTCCTTTGTGCGGAAGGTACCTGAATGGGTGGACCAACGTGTCCCACCATCGGAATTTATCTAGGTTGTGGACATTCGGACATTCCATTCGCCTGATATATTTATTTTGACCATTGTGGGTGAGGTACCAGAAGGAGTGGACATCATAGGAATTGATGTAGGTTTGGTAAAGATAAATGGTTTGTTTCAAATCTGAAAGTCCGTGATATTATACTAACTACTAATTTTTAGGAGTGGTCCGATAATCCCAATCTTCGAACTTTAATTAAGTTTGGAATAATATTATGATGTGCATAATATTTCTCTCATACAGAGTTATCGTATGCACCAGCCAGACAGACGTCCGGACATTTCGATTCCAAATCGTTTAAAACGGATTTGGTCCAAAGAAACATAGGGTCTAAAACCACTATTTCGATTAGGCATTTTTATTTTTGCCGTATCTAAGCCATAAGGCTGAGGATATAAAAAAATCTTTAGAATCCATTCGGAGGTATAAACATCGATTAAAATTGTTAGATCTATCGTGTATTTAAAAAAATTAATCGAGGACTACTTTTTTCAAAAATATTGTATAGGTTTAACAACAAACCTATTACCGATGACTTTTTATATAATATTTTTAAAGGTATATTACGCCAATAATTGCGGATTTTTATACGAACTACCATAAAATGGAGTATATTAAATTTGTCATTCCGTTTACCACAATCTCTTCTTCTGCCCATCTGTTGAAATCACAATAGAGTTTGCAACATTTAAGATAGGCCAATTCGATCTGATGTTGGCCAAAGAAAAATTTTAGAGAGGATTTTGTGGATTTTTATCCAATAATTTTACTATCAGAGCCCTAATCATGGATATTTTAAATGGCTATCCGAGCTCTAATATTTGATTTTTTTGAGAATTATTTTAATGACCTACTAATCGACCTCTAATTTCGATTTTTATACCCTACACAACTATGTTGTCAGGGTATTATAGCGAAATATTGGTCCCAGACCTTAAAGGTGGGTCTAGGACAAATATTTTCGATCATATCTCGACTACCTAAGTCGAGTCCGTCCGTCCGTCCATCCGTCCGTCCATTATAAATAGTAAACACGATACAGGCCACAGTATGGACCAATCTTCACGAAATTTTGCATGTAGGATGGGTTCGGCCCAATGAAGACCCCTATTGTTTTTGGTAAAGATCGGTTAATATTTAGGGGATGAAATGGACCAATTACTTACATTTTTTCGGTTTTTCTGGTCGCTGGAAAAGGGGATTGGGCCAAAGAATAAGCATGCCTGTTTTGATAAAAATCGGTCAATATTTAGCGGGTCAAATGGACCCTGACTTTTGTGTGAAAAATGACAAAATTTGTATTCTATGGCGTATATGGTTACTCCTAAAGGATATATACCCGTAAAGTTGATAGTATATCCAAGAGGAGTGGTTGGCCTTTAAATTGATACCAATTATTTTGTCGTATGTACTCGGATGTGGGAGCTACACTTAAATATTTGCAGGTGCTTACGTATTCGGATATTATTTAATAAACCATTGCCACACTAGAGGGCGGAAATATAGCGCTGATCGCTTTGAAATGTTCCATGAGGTTCCAGTTATGGTCAAGGACAACGCCTTCAATTTTCGGTGATGATCAGATAATCATTTTGGGATGAAGTGGACCGAAAACTTATTTTTTTTTGTATTTTTTATAAGCCGAACATCACAACCCAACCCACGGTGAAGGGGGAAATGGACAAATAATTAGAAGGGCTGTACTGAATATTAGTAATATTCGGAAAATATGTCAGAATAAGGAAAGATAGAGTTCTATGGTAGTTGTGTAGGGTATCGTATGGTCGACCCCGTCCGACTATACTGCTACGCTCACTGGTTTAAATATAGTTTTAGAGGCCTATCAGAGCTTTAATCGTGGAATTTTGAAATAATACTTTCAGAGGTCTATCAAAACTCTAACCGTGTATACTTTCTATTCAAGTTCTCATCGTAGATTTTTGAGGAATATTTTTAGAGGGCTAACAGAGCTCGTGACTTTGTTAAGAATAATTTGAGTGGCCCATCAGAGCCTAAAACATGTAAAGTTTATATTTAAGAGAATATTTTTGGTGGTTTATTAGTGCTCTAATCGTGATTTGTATAATGAATAAAGTTAGAAGTATATCAGAGCTATAATCGGGAAATTTCAAAGAATATTTAAAGAGGTCGTTTTAGTACAGCCCACATTGTCGCAGAAATTTGTCATATATATAAAAATCACGATAAATTTTAGATATTTTTTCACAGTCAAAGACATTCAAAGCTCTTTGCACTTTGCAGATATATATTTTTCGGTGTTTTCAATGTTCTAGCCTCATTTCAATCCGAAGTGGCTGTAATTTCAAAATATGTCTATGTAGTGACATGGGCCCAATACAAAAGTCCCATTGCTTTTTCGGTATATTAGCCGAATGATTTTGATTTTGCAAATCGTCCTCATATAAATGTTCTCCCCCATTTCCGGTATGTAAAAAGTCTTAGCCGAGTTTTCTAACCTAAGTGTCTGTAATTTAGTATTTCGTTTTTTCTGAGGACAAATAATCCCCTGGTAATATAATAATCCCCTGGTATATTATCCCCTGATAATAATTGCCGATGTAGGTCCATATTTTGACATAGCCCCCATATAAGGGTACCGAAAAATTTAAGTATTTTTAAAGCGCATTTTAACCATTTTACAAATATCTTTTAAAAAACTATCAAATATAAAAAGAATATCATAAGGGGGTTTATGGTTAATATTTTTTTTTATTCTTTCGGAGCTAATTTTAGATATTTTCAAAAATATTTTTAAGGGTCTATCAGATTATAATCATGTTTTTTTTTATATTTTAGAGTATTCTATTTATATTCGGAAATTACAGTCGAGGTTGAAGGGTAATACACTAATATTAGCTATACCAGTTTATTATAAACCATGGCTGGAATCTGTCAATGCACTCTGTTAAATACCTTACATAAATTCTCTCGACAACTGCATAATTCCGAAGAAGTGCAAATTATATATTTATCAAACTATAATGACATAGCAAAGTCGACCTCAATTCCCCTTTAGACACACTATATATTTAGAATTAACTAAACAACAACATTAAATAACAACAAATTAGAATAAACAAAAAACACTTTCGCATCTACACACCATGTCGTTAGAAGAAAATGTGACTTTGGTACTGCTCTCTGGCTGTAATTATGCAGATTCACTTTCCTTCCATAAGCTGATAACTGATTAGTTAGTAAATATCGTGTTTTCATTTATCTACAAGATAAGAAAACCTAACAGCAGATATAGTCTTTGGAGACTGTGCAAAAAAGCCAGAAATCTATAAGAATTCCATGGCAGATTGTTAGCGTAAACAGTCTCAAGAAATCCTTCGAACTAGACAGAACGCGACCCAGACAACGACCATAAGAAGGAAATAAATCGCCAACGACATGAATAGTTTTTTGAAAAGTTTCATTGTGGCCTTAGTGCTACTCCAAATCACCGATGCTGCTCTGCCCGGTGGCCACAATTTGGCCAATTTATTTTTCCGTTCCCGTATGGTTAGCCGTGATCCTGCCGTGACAATGGCCTGCTTTAATGACTACATGGTCAAGTCAAACGAAATCGGTGAAACCTATAGTGAGGATTATAATCTGTGTCTGGTGAATGCCAAGGATGGACGTAAACTCATTGAAGAGGAAATGAAAGTTGAACGCAGTGCCATTGTACAAAGTGCCCAGGAAGTTTGTCAAAGTGTTCAGACCTGTAATAACATGAATTCGACTTTGGGTATTTTCAGCTGTCATGCTGATATTGTAAGTATGAGGGAGAAGGGGAGGTTACAAAGGATAATTAAAAAAAATATTTTTCCTATAGGGAGCCAAGACCACCAAATCTGTGTACAGCATTTCCGGCAATGCTTCCGAATATGCTAGCATTATGCATGAGAAATTCCGTTTAATTGATTTGAGACACGATCAATGCTGCAAGTCTGCCGAACGTAAATATGTTGAGGATACCGCCTTGGTATATCGTCATTTGCAAGATTGTTTGGAGGGTCGTGTTGCTCCCACAACAACAACTACTACTACCACTGTCGCTCCTACCACTACTACAACCACCACAACTTTGGCTCCAACAACAACAACCACCAAGGCTACCACAACGACACCTACTACAACCACGACCACCACAACAACTGTTGCCCCACCCACTACAGCTGTACCAGAAATTCCCGAAGCCCCCGTAACCGAAGGTAATCAATTGCAGGCTGTACTTGAAAAAACTGCCGATAAAGCTCAAGATTTGGCCAAACAATTGATTAAATTCTTTAATTAATTTTGAAATTTAATTGAATAAATAAATTTAAAGGGTTAAATGCGTTTGTGTGATTTTACTTACCAATTACCATGAGAACAATTTAGAGATATTTTAAAAATCGATTGTGGGATTTGAACTTACCTGAAAGAGAAGAGAAAACAAATGGACTTTATTCTTGGGATTCTTAGGAGAAATTTTAAGGGTGTCAAAGATAATTTATTTAATAAATATTTGTATAAGACTACGAGAGATATTGTTAAGAGGACCGTAATCGTATTTCTTTCTAAATGTTATCGTGATACAAAAATCAAGCTACAATAAGAAATATATTTATAGAACTGTCAGAGATATTATTCATTTAGAAATATATATCGTGGATTTTATTGAAACATTTTTGAGGTCTAAATTGTTTACAAAATATATGAGGGGTATATGATAGCTATCATTGCAATTTTTTTTAAAACATAAGGAGTCAATCAGATCTAGAATCGTGAATTTATTAAGGTCTTATTTTGAGCTTATCAGAGCATTTATATTAAAGTTTTTTTTTTGGGAGTTTGTCAAAGCTTAAAAAGTGAATTTATAAGCAAAATATTGCAGCTGCCTATCAGAAGTATCATCGTGAGTTTAAAAAAATAAATAATGTTGGACTACACCCGAAGAATTCTTAAGTTGAGTTTTAAAAGTGGATACGAGCATTTAAATAATATTTATATAGGACTGCGAGAAATATTTTATAGGATATGAGGAGGGTCGTGATAACAAAGCTATGATTTTTAGGAATCAGGAATTGTTCATATAATATTTTTGGGAATCTATCAGATCTGCATTCGAAAAATTTTAAAGAAATTTTATAGAAATATATAAGAGCGATTTTTTTAATATATTTAGAAAGCTATTGAAAATATAATGTAATAAGGGATTTAGAAGACGATAAATTAGTCTCGTCTATAAAGACTCCCTTCAGTACTGTATGAACAACTACCTGACATTCAACATTAGCCATAAAAGACTTCCTGTCATTCACGCCCAGATCTTCGAAACGTTCAGCTTGCCAATGGTAGACTCTCTGGCATTTTTTTGGTCATCTCGTTTGTGAAATATTCCATGGTTTTCAGCTCGTCTATAAAGACTTCGCAACCTCCAGGTATTCTATTAAGACTCCTAGCTTCAATACATCTATAACGCCTTCCAGATATTCAGTTCGCTTATAAAGGACTTGCTATAAAAACACTATTCAGTTGATTTACGGCTATATCATACCGTTCAGGTTCAAATTACATTCCGCTCGCCTATCAAAGACTCCATAACCCCCATTTTATAATTGTGGAAACAGGATAAGTCCATTACGGATTACCTGTCCATTGCCCCGTTTATGCTAGCCATGATCGTCGTGTAGTAAGACTCCCTATTCTCCCAGGTCTTCTATAAATACTTTCTGGTAAGTTCTTCTATTAATATTTGTGGCTTCAAATCATCTATAACGACATCCAGACCTTTAGCATTCATGTTTTCTACAAAAAACTTTCTAGCCGATACAAAAATTTTTGGTCTTCAGATAGTCTATGATTCAAGCCGTCTGTAAAGATTCCCTTCAACCCATCTGAAAAGACTCCTTTTAGCTTGTCTACAAATACTCCTTGATATAAAATACGCCGTGTTTCTGAAAGATTTCCTGGTATCCAGTTAGTCTATGAAGGACTCGACTCGTCTATAAAGTTCCAAAGCTTCATCTAAAATTGCAAAGCTTCGTCTATAGAGACCATTCAGACTTTTGGCTTCAGCACGTTCATAATGATTCCTCTCAGTCCTCCTACTTCAACTCGACCATAAAGGTCTCTTTTCAGTTTTTCTACAGATCCTCCCAGAAATCCTTAAACTCGGCAACGGAGAGTATCTTCAGTTTCTCTATATAAAGACCTCCTTCACTTCTATAGAAAGTCTCCTAGGTTCTCACTTCATTGGTGAAAATCTCCTTGGTTTTCACATAATGTGAAAGTTTCGCTGGTTCACTCCTCTGCTTTCGGTCTTCTATGAAAAAAAAACTCCTAATCCCATAAAAGAATTATTGGTCTTCAGATCTTCATCACTTTCACAAAGACTCGCTTCAATCAGTCTATAAAGATCCTTCTCGCATTCAGTATTCGACACGTATGTAAAGACTCAAAACTTCGTATATATTGAGGACTCCCTTCAGTTCGACTATAAAGATTCGCTTTAATTCCTCTAATTCTTCTCGTCTATTAAGACTATATAGAAAGTCTCCTATATAGAAAGTCTCGTTTATATAGAAAGTCTTCTAGATTCTCACCTCATCTGTGAAAAATCTCAATGTTTCTCACCTCGTATGTGAATGATTCTCTAGTTCACAGACCATCTATGACAAGTGTCTTCCAAACTTTTTAGAGTCCCTATGGATGCTCCATTCAAACCGTCAAAATATATTTCCGACTATAGATCCTCTCTTCCTGCTTTATTTTCGAAAACAACTCAAAATCTTCTCCTACCAAAAATTAACAATATTGGCACACTTTTCAGATCAAATTATTAATTGGCTCCTATTTGATATTTTGAGTTCTCATTGAGAGAAAAATATTCCAAACAAATAGTCTAAATATCCGTGAATCGTTGGGTATTTTCCCATATTAAGGTCCAAGACCTTCGCATGTAGTTTGATTTTTCAAAGTGTCTAGGAACTCTAAGTTCTGCGGATGTTTATTCCGACCCTGACAATAATTCGTGATATTTGCACCCTATCGATTAGAGGCCAACAGCATATCTTCCTTACACTGGCATATAATCCGAATATTATAAATATTCACTAAAGCTCTTCTAATTTTCGGTCATTCCAAAATTATTATTTGATCATCGCCGAAAATTATAGGCGTTTCAAAACGATCAGCGCTATATTTAAGCCCTCTAGTGTGGTAATGTGTTACTAAATAATATATGAATACGTAAACACATGTAAATATGTAAGTGTAACTCCGCATTCGAGAACATAGGACAATATAATTGGTATCAATTTAAAGGCCAACCACTCATCTTCGATACACCATCAACTTCTTGGGTCTATGTCCTTCAGGTATAAATATACACGTTATAAAATACAAATTTGGTAATTTTTCACACAAAATCAGGGTCCATTTGACCCGCTAAATATTGACCGATATTTATCAAAACTGGCACGCTTGTTCCTTGGCCCGATCCCCTTTCTCCATGAAAAATTTCGTGATGTTCTGGCCATAATTGCGGCCTCTAGAGCGACCAGAAAAACTGACAAAAATTAAGTATTTCGTCCATTTCATCCCCTAAATATTAACAGATCTTTACCAAAAACAATAGGGGTCTTCATTGGTCAGAACCCACCCTACATGCAAAATTTCGTGAAGATTGGTCCATAACTGTGGCCTGTACCGTGTTTACAAATTATAATGGACAGACGGACGGACGGATACACTAGATCGACTCAGCTAGCCGAGATATGACGATCGGTATACTTAACGGTAGGTCTAGGACCAATATTTCGCGGCGTTACAAACTTTTGGGGCTGCACAAAGCTATAATACCCTGACAACATAGTTGTGTAGCGTAGAAAAATCAAATGATTGTACCCCTTGACATTTGTAAAGATTAAGCAACGTGATAACGAAAACAAGCCATGCAAACTAAATCCAAAAAAAAAACAATACCCTCTTCAATGAACACCTGTTCTGAAAGTCAAAAAAAAAAAAATAAATAAAATCCATAAACAATAACCTCTTTAACCTTCCACTTCTTTTTTTGCATAGATTTCCTTTTGACGTTTTTATTTTATGCCAATATCACGAAGAAACAACAATTTCAAATTCAATTCAACAAAAAAAAAAAAAAAATAGTTTCCAACCGGCATTACCTTATAAGGTTCACTTGATTTTGATTGCGTATTTAGACAGCTGTTTGTTTCATATTGTTCTCTTTTTTCTTTACTACTATATAAGTATGTACGTACGATTATATTAAGCTTGATACGGTAGCATATATAATGTGGCAAGTTGACAGACACATAAGGTAATATGTTTCTTACTTCTATGTTGTTGTTGTTATTTTTCATTCATTATTATGTTTCCTTGTTAAAAAATATGAGTGGTTATGGAATTGTTTTAGCTTTTCCATTTGATGTGTTTCGCATTCAGCCCAATATGGCAGGGACGGTTTAATGTCAAGGTGCTTAAGGAAAATGTAAGGCTTTGTGGTGCTTTCCATATAGGGTTTTGTTTTTTTTTCTCTTCTAACCGTTACTAGAGGAGGTGAGAAAACTAATGTTTTGTATTCTTGTTTTCTGAAAAAAGGGGACTGGCATTTTCGGAATTTCAAGGAGCATAAGTTTGCTTCATTAATTATCAGATAGTCCTCTGAGAATATTATTAACTAAAAACGAGAAATCTTATAGGTGAGGATTTTTGAAAGAAATTTTTTCCACGACTGTTTAAGCGTGGATTTTTTCAAAGAAAATTTTTCCAACGAGACATATAGGCGTGGATTTAAAAAAATCAGTGATAACTATAGTCGTGGATTTTTAAAGAATTATTTCAATGATAACTATAGACGTGGATTTTTAACAATTTTTTTCCACGAATATTTCATTCGTGGAATTTTTTGTAAGTTATACACGACTATTATAATCGTGGATTTTTTAAAGAATATTTTTCCACGAGGATAATAAGCGCGTGTTTTTAAAAGAGTATTTTTTCTACGCCTATTAAATTTCCACGGGCATGGGTACTTACGCAAGCAGATGCGGCAGCTCTTGGAGTGTTTGAGAGAAAAATTCTCCGAAAGATCTATGGGCTGCGTTGACGGTTAATATCCCCGTCGAATCATGTTGTAAGAATTGATGAAGATGCCCCAGCCCAGAAGACATATAAAAGCGAACCAGCTGATGGTTCACGCAGAAGGGGAAGGCCGTGAATACGATGGAAAGATCAAGTCGAAGACAACATTGCCGAAAATGGTATTTCAAATTGGAAAAACTGCGC